ATATATATATATATATATATTTCAAGTGCTAATTGTTGTACTTACACCAATAATGTGTGTAACTTTTTTTTGGCCTCTGTCTTTACTTAATATTAGCTTTTAAGTGATGCACATGATTGTTTCTAAATTGCAGATCTTGAAGGCAAGACAGATCATAAAATACAAGCTCTAGAAGAAGTAGAAGAGCTCAGAACTAAAAGAGCAGATAAACAGGTTCTTTGAAGAAGATTCTTTCGTAGGAATTGTCATGTCATGATATCACTGAAAACATTAATGTTTTCATTTCAGGATTTCCTTGATATTAAATGTACATAAAGTTCCCGATATCTTGAATGACATTTTGTCTCTTATTATATATGATGTTCTGTTTGTTGTTACAGTCCATGCTGCTTTGGATGCTTTTCATAAAGATCGAGCACCTTTGCCTCAACCATTGCCAAACCCTCCACCTCTGGCACCATTGCCTCTAGCCACGCCTGATCCTTGGACCCAGGAAAATGATAATGGAAAGTTGAAGAAAGCTGAGGATCTTGGTAAGGCTCAACTTACCTGAACTCTGTTTTTTAAGTTTGTAAAACAAAGGAGAAAAACATTGACTATTGACATATATTAAGTTGCATATGCTATAGCTATATGGCCTTTTTTTTTTGTTTTTTCTAACTTTATTTGTTGCCTTCAAATTCCTAGAAATGAGATACAGGTCATTCTTAAGCTGTTTTTGAATCTTTTATTATGCTGATTTATATTCCTTTATATGTGTGCTTACACCCTTTTTTGGTAAAAACCAACCTTGCCTGAAAATTTGTTTCCTCTTTCCTTCCAAAACAATGGTCAATTGTTGATAAAGACTCTGTGCTTTTCTGTTTTCTTTTTAATCAACACTCAGTGCTTTACATTAACAATGCCTTTAGAAGGCTTTCATTGAAGCTATACAGAAGGATATTAGAAAAACTGAAGTTACTAAAATATCTCTTAATTATAAAAGATGAATTAAACTTATAAATCATTGAACTGAAGACTTCCTCTTGATTGAAAGGCTTTTTGTTCCTTAAGTTAGCCCAAAATTAATGGTCTCTCTGATTGATATCAATAGGAAAAAGGCTAGCAGTTGTACTAAAAAAAGGTTCCTTGCAATTAGGATCTTTATTATTTGGAAATCTATTTTATTTGTTTGAAAATTGTGCTTAAATGTGTTTTATTGTACCTTGTGGTATAAAGATTTCAGGGATATATGTACTTTATAGTGGTAATTGAAATGCTCTCTCTCTAAATGATTTTTAGGTGAGAAGGGGATGATAGATGAGGCACAAAAAGCTTTAGAAGAGGCTGAAGCACTTAAAAAGGTTTCAATTTCTGAACTTAATACTGTTATATCTGTAGATGGATTTATATTATTAACTTATACTGTTCTTTTCCTTGATGGTTTGCATTATGACTTATCTGTGGATATTTGTTTTTCCATTTCTGCTCAGCTCCCTGCCAGACAGGAGCCTGTTTTGGATTCCTCAAAATACACTGCTGCTGATGTTCGCATTATGAGTCCTGTATTTCCTTTTTTCAGTATCATAGAAAGGAAAAGTTGACCCTTCTAAGCAAAAATTAGATATAAAAACTTAGGTGTACTGTGACCTTACAAGGAGGATGTGGAATTTAATTTGTGTAATTAATGCATGAAGAGCCAGTCACCTTCTGTAAGAGATTTCATGCAAATAAGGATACGACCTTTCAAAACTTTTCTAATTAAGGATATGACCTTTTTCCTTACTTGCAAAGGTCATATCCTTTAGAAACTTTGGAAGGTGATAGCCTTGATTAGTAAAGAAAAAAGGTCATATCCTTAATTAGAAATGTCTTGAAAGGTTGTGTCCTTATTTGTATGAAATCTCCTTTGATTTTAGTCAAATTCTTTTTAATCCATTTATAGAGTAATATTTCATCTGCACTAACCGTTTTGATCTAATGTTATTTCAGACTGATTCAAAGCTACAGGTTTGTGACATTTGTGGACCATTTTTGAGTGTTTATGACAGGTACCGTGTTTATCCTCTACTTCCTGGTCATAACGTTTTATCTTAAGCTTTCTAAAGGCTTCGAAAAGTTAGTGTTTGGGGTTTCAAGTGCTTCAGCGTTTGATCCGACAATTATACCTCCTTGTTACCAGCAGGCTTTTAGGCCCAGTTTTACGAGGATAACTTTTGCAGCTACATAATGTGCATCTTTTTCTGTTTTATGTGCTTGTTGATCTTGCAATTGGTAGATAATAAATATTTAGGAAACTGTACGGTGCAAGCTCCTGCAACTTTTTCTATTTTCTGGGTAAAAGTGTTTTGATTTTTCTTGTTCATTTCAGTGATTGATGTTTAGCAGATCATTTTGGAGGCAAATTTCATTTAGGCTATATGCAAATCCATGATAAACTAGCAGAGCTTCAGGTAAGATTGTTTATATGCTATGGTGGCTTTGCTTTACGAATTGCATTGGGGTCGGAAGTCCCTGCTGTCCAAGATTTTGGTTTTATAGATTGCCTGAGCTTTTCTCCACGTGCTATGTGCATTCAACTTTTCTTTTCTTTTTCCCTTTTTTTTTTTTTAATAAAATTAATCAGACCTTTATTTACTTCCTTTGCCTATTAGATTCTAGTATAACAGCAAATTAAATGCTTTTGTGCTTAGTAGGTATCTCTATTCCTCTATTGATCTTTTCCAGATGTCCTTAAGTTTGTATTGTGAATATGTTGGTTCAGGTGCTGGTATAATGTTTCTCATTCTTCTATAAAGATTCTCAGTTAGTATCATCTGTGAGTTTTTCTGACCTTGGAGAAGAATATTATGCCCCGTTTTCTAATTTCTTTTGATTGTTTGTAGATGCTCTGATGCTGGACTTTAAAACACAGCATTTTCTACCTTGTGTGTGCATATTTGGTTTAAAATGCATTATGAAATGTCTTGGTTCTCACCCAATTTTGATAGCTCAGTTTTGTCTGCTGAAAGCAGGAAAGAAAATGTAAAATATGAAATCAAATAAGACAGAAAAAGTAGAAAAAATGATTTCGTTCTGGGCATTTTAAGAATAGAGGGAAAAAAGGCTCTTAAAATCTGACGATAAACCTGATGGATGGAAGGCCTGGTTTGGTCAAGGTAAGCTGCCTATGGATTATGCCTAGCATTTAATTCTGACCTAATAGTCTTGTGGTATGATATATTTGGCTAAATTGAGGTGGCATTTATATTTTTTAAAAGAAGAGTTCAGCAGCACCTCTTGTTAATTAACTTTTGTCAGGAAGAGAGAAGCAAGAGCTGCAAACTTAACCAATATGATGAGAGGAGGTAATCCTCACGTTTTTTTCCTTTTTGTTTCACTTTTTCCTTTGGATAATATGTAAACCATCAGATAGAGAGGGGATTTTGTGATATCTTTTTTTTTTTGGGTGGTGCATGGATCAAAAGAAAGAAGTAGAGATCAGGAGAGAAAATCCAGTTGTGACCAAGACCAAGCTAATAGTCGTGACCGAGGGAGGGATTATGATCAAAGGAACAGAGACCGTGACAGGTACAATGATCGAGAATGTGGTACGGATTATGAGTGCCCTCAGACTTATGATTCTAGATGTCGCCACAGGTCACATTCAAGGTCTAAGGAGTATTCCAGGGATTATGATTGTCACAGGTACCTTTTTCTCTTTGTTTATGGTTTTTTAAAGTTTATTTTCACATGGATTTGTGTATGAGTCTCTTGCCATTATTGGTTCATTTTTGTAATTCCATATTTGTTTGTTTACATGTCAAATTGATGCATGTTTGGATTATATGTATGCTTCTTATCATATTCTTCACTCAACTACCTGTAGGTAATTTCATTATTTTCAAAAAGATCTAACTACCTTAAGGCAAGTTTTATCAAAGTGGAAATGTGGAATAGAGGGTATAGGTTAGGAAAGTTTTGAATTGCTTGGTGGAATGATTTTCAAACAGGATTTTGTTAAAGGTGGGGCTGTAAGAAGCCATGCTTCTCTCATCAAGTTGAACTCAAAATAATAGTAACCCCAGTTTGTATTTGGTTTCTTTTAGTTAAGTGAGTTGACTTAAACATTTTAGTGCTCAGCCTGAGAATTAGCCATTCCATACTTGTTTAACATTTAACAATGCATCATTAATTTTGTTTTCTGATGATTTTTTAGCTTGTTGAATTTGTGTTAAGTTAATATGCTATTAGTTTTCTATTGTAAAATGTGCCAAAGCTGACTTCATGATGAGGTTTTCACCATTGTTTTCAAATTTCATGCTGAACTCTAGCTAATATTTGAGTCCAAGAAAATGACTAAATGATATTATTAGGCATATTGCTATTCCAGTTGAAAATGACTAAGTTATCTAATATGACTAAATGAAAATTAATTCAAGGCTGGATGCATGACAGTAGGAGGTTTGAATTGTTGTTTGTTTTTTTTTTTTGCTTCGAGGGCGTTATTGTAAGTTGTTAAGCAATTGAACGAATTTTAAAGAAATTGAATGGATCTTAGAATTTATTCCCTCCCCTCCAATTTATCTTTTTATCAAAAATAAAAACCCTTCACTCCCCAATTTCATCCTTCTTTGTAAAAGACAAACAGATGTGACCCTAAAATGCGAGGAGAATGCTGGAAATGGCACCTAAGTTTTGTAACCGCTTAGAGCACTCTATAATTCATTCATTTTTCATATTCTTATACAGAAGTTTTAGTTGACAGATATATATTCAACCAAATACATCAAGATTACATCAGAAAAGTGTAGTTTACTTAACACAGCGCTGAGATTGCTATGTTAGATTTACATGAAAAAGAAACTGACTAGTACACTTACTCCGTTAGATTTAAACTTAGTATTACAAAAGAACTAACAAGGATCAAGGGAAATATTCAGGTTCTTCAGCACTCTTTTTAGATGCCCATTTACAACTCGGTCTCATCCTGGTCCTGTGTCCCGAACTATAAACAATTTGGAAAGCATGATTTGCTATGAAGTAATGTGTGCATGTCATCTACAACCTCAACAATAACAGCATAATTCCATGTCTTTACTATCGGCAAAAACCCATGGATTGCCCTTCAACTTTTCGAGTACGTGGGACTTTACCCCTCACCTTACAATATGTGATTTTATACCCTCTTGGTATTCTAATGTGTGGAATTTTACCCCTCACCCTACAACTTTAGGAGGGTAAAATATCATAAACTCGAATATCATGAGGATATAAAATCATAAAATTGAATATCAAGAGAGTATAAAATCACATGTTGTAATGTGAGGGGTAAAGTCCCATATACTCAAAAAGTTGGAGGGCATTCTATGGGTTTTTGCCCTTTATTATCTGAGTACACTGTTGTTTGTTGTTTGAACTGGCTGTAATGTCCCCTTTTCAGAGACGCTCATGGTCAAGGGAAACCACCTGGTACTCCATCTATGATATAATATAAAGAGTATCAAGCTCGAACAACACCCAAATGCTAACCTCCGATCGGATTCATCAAAAAGGGAAAAAAATATAAAAGCCTCGTATGGAGCACTGACACTAGTAATCTCATAATTCTCAATCAAAAGGGTAAATAGATATTGAAAAATGTAGTTTGCTCTGTGTGTGAAATTGAGAGTTGTTTAACAAAGGGATATGAGAAATCTAT